TAGCTTATTGAATTCTAGTTTGTTATATTGTGTTACCAGACATGTCCTATTTTCATTAAAAATCAACTCACGTTGAAAGCTTCAATATGACAGGGATGGATGTTTGAGCACAGAAATTTCAAATGACTCTGATCTTCAGGTTGAATACAAAGACTTAGGCAGGTGGCAGATTTCTGGATTTTCTGTTGATCCTTAGATAAATTGGCCAGCCTTTGAGATTCTTTCATGTACAGTGTTAGATCTCGCATAGGAGACTCAGTTACATATTTTGCTGTTGAGTTTTGAATGGATCTGTGAGAATTGTCTTGCTCACATACATTGAAAAAATGTAATTGTGTAATTCAAATTAATGAGGACAAATGTATCAGAATTTTGAAAGTCATATGTCATCACATGACTGTACCATGCAAAAATAAAATAACAGGGTAATCCTATTTTCTTAATATTTAGACCTGAATGTTTTGTTTGGAATAAAAAGACAAATTGAGCTGTACCTTACTAATTCAAGCACAAGGTGTGTTTAGTAAACAATTGCTGAAGGTTACGTTCTAAAATGTAGTTTGTATTTCAAGGAGACAAATAACATTTTCTCAAGTTCTGATTATTCTAATTCATTTTAAAATTCAATTGGAAATAGTCAGCCTTAACAAGAAACAAGGAACATGATGTGAAAATCCAACTGACTTGGTATAACATTTAATTAATGTTTTCCAGCTTTTTTACGTCCCTTTAGCCAACATTGTGTCATGTTGCCTAACTCAGAGGTTGAATGCATAATTCGCTTTTAACCATTTGGTCTTGTTACTCTTGCACTGGAAGACATTCTTGAAATAAATATGTTTAATGATCATTTAATGTTCTGTTCCCCTTACTTAGCACCCGTTGGAAGGCCTAGCTGAGATTGATGTGCATTGTCCATTGGCTCTGCTTTATTAATTTTGTTCATAGCATGGAAAATTTAGATTAAAATTGCTAGGTAGGATAATGGGGCCAAAGATTTGACGTATAATGTGCAAATCTAGAATTGTTTGCATGGATAGTAAATAGACAAACTTTTGTGTAGTGGAGGTAAAAATATAAATGGGATACATTAAAAGGACATTTTGAATAATTGTGTTATCGTGGACTGAATGGAAATTCTTTTCAACGTTATTTTCTGATCTTTGTGTGAAACAAATCACTAAGTAAAGTACAGATAGTGTGAATTAAAAGTGTGAAGGAAAACCTGATGATCAATGCTGCATTTAGTACAAAAGCCCATGGCGCTATCAGACTTTGATTTTTTGTTTTTAAATAAAATTGAAAGATTCTAAAACATCACTTCCAATTGTTTTCGTATTGAATTATACTTCAATTTGAAATATATTTGCTTAATGTCTATGGCATTAATTTAGCAACAGATAGGGATTCTACGATTCTACAGTGCAGATGTAATGCTGAAATAATCTTCAAATCTGCTTACCTGTTAATTTGTTTTCCTTTTGACATTGGGAGAAATATCTCAAGATGTGATCAATTAATCTGAATCTTCTGTGTAGCTGAGATGGGTGGTTGGCAGCTAATACTACTTGAAGCTGCTGTTCACTGTTGGATGTAGCCTTTAGTTAGTAACTTCATCTGTGGAAAGTAGATCCAGTTTCATTGTAAAATAACTTGATTCATGTCACATGCACCATACAAATCCAGTTAAATAATGTACACTCTG